ATAGATAGATAGTTATTTAGTTAGTCAAGTAACTACAAAAACTTATTAGAGATCATTTAAACAAATTCCATAAAAATGCCTTACTTTTTAAAACCCATTACTTATTAAACTTTATAAATCATATAACTACAACAACTTCCTCATTCTCTCACTCTTTTCAGACAAACTATACGAGAAACATGGGGCAATACTACGGAATTCAATTACAGTATGTTTGAGAAATTGCATTCGCATTTAAGCGACAAATATTTGCAACCAAAACGCCAACGCATTGAATTATTTCAAGAATTTTTCAAATTAAATGGCAATGTGAGTGAGCTAATTCTACAAAAGTATTACACTATACATATTTATATGTTAATATATTTACTCTAATGTATTTAACTTAGTTTGAAAACAACTTTGTTGTATTTGCTTTTTTATTTAATGTTTATTTTATAATTTTGCTCTAGTTGTTTGTGTTTTTCTTACTTTACAGTTTGTCATTAACACTTTCTATTGTTTATTTATTTGTGTTTAGCAAACGACAGCAATTCCACCAGCCACAATGCCAGTAAGAATATTATTTTTATTGGGTCATACAAAAATTGACACGGCTGGCGGTATGGGCGGCAGCGGGGGTGATAATGAAACTCACATACGTCTTCAACAAGAAGCCGAACAATATGATGATATAATACAAGAAAATTTTTTAGATACTTACAATAATTTAACCATCAAATCGGTCATGGCTTTAAAATGGATAACTCGCAACAAATGTTTTCAAAAGGCTGCCTTCTTTATGAAATGTGACGATGATACGTTCGTTAATGTACCCAATCTGTTGCAATTTCTATTGGGTGGCACCGTTCCATTGTACAATGAAACTTTAGATTACTATGATAGTCGTACGTATCAGACTTTGTCTGCCATAAATCGTTTAAATGCCACCACCAATTATATGGTGGGTTATATGTTCTGTAAAGCTCCCGTTTTGGCAAATGTCAAGAGTAAATGGTATATGCCTTATTATATGTACAGTAAAGATTATTATCCCACTTATTTATCGGGTTCTGGCTATCTTATGTCCATGGATGTGGTACCACGCCTTTACGAAGCTTCCTTAAATACTAGTTTAGTATATTTGGAAGATGTTTATGTTACCGGCATGTGTGCCGAAAAGGCTAATATACAAAGACATCATCATCCTTTATTTAACTATGGGCGTTATAAGCACTCGTGTACATTGAAAGGTATGATAACTCTACATAAACTCACCAACGATGACATGTATGCTGCTTATAATTTTGTAACAAATGTTACATATCATTGTCCGCCACCAGGAAAATATTTTAAACGTATACGTTTACGTAGATTAAGTGGCTGTGGTTAAGATTTAGTAATTATATTTATATGGTAAGTCCTCTTAGGCATAAAGACACACTTTTTTAAGGGGAGTGTTTAAGATTATGAAATTTGTTTAAATTGTTTTTTATTGGTAATTTTTGTTAATTAGCACAAATTTATAGATAACTAAAAGTTAAATTGTAGATAGCTCAAATTGTATTGTAAGCAGTATTTTTTGTTTTAAGTTTTTTAATCTAAATTTGTTTTTGCATTATTCTAAGAATTCTTATTTCGAAATAAAATTAGTTTTTGTAAGATTTAGATGGATTACTTTTCGAATTAAAGGGAAAATCAGTCACCTTCAAAATGCACACTTTTCACTTAGAAGTGAAATGTTTTATCAGCAAAAGATTGTTTTGAATTTGCACCCAGTGACCAGAGTATACTATCCTAAAAGATTTCTTTGTGCTGAATAGAATTCTGATCTCTCTGGTAGGTTCTCAAGATGTATCCACATGAAGAATTTCGGATTTAGGACAATATGTGAAAAATCTGGGTTTTTAATGAAATATAAATTTTTTGCAAAAATGGGTCTTTTAAAGTCCTATTTTTTACAAAAATTATATTTTGTGTTACATTTTTAGTGAAAATTAAGATTTTAAATGAAAAGTGTAAAACTGAAAAGTCGGGTTTTTAAAAAAAAAAAATAGATTTTTAGTCAAAAAGTGAATTTTAATTGAAAAGTGATCAGATTTTGTACAAAAATTTATATTTTTAGTGAAAAATTTAGTTTTTAAACAAATTTGGATTTCAATAAAAAATCGGATTGTTCACAAAAACTTAATTTTTAGTGAATAATTGAAGTTACCTTAAAAATTCGTATTTGAATAAAAAATTTCACTTTTGGTCAACATTTTTAGTTAAACATCAGATTTTTAATGAATTAAATTTTGGTATTTTTAGATAAAATATGTGATATTTTGCGTAAATTGAGAGATTTTAAGTGAAATTTAAAATTTTTATTAAAATATTGAGATTTTTAATGAAAAAGTCAGAATTAATTTATCCATCCATTCAAATGTAAAAAATTGAGATTTATATTGAAATTTTAGAAATTTTTTAAAAATTCAGATATACATATCAAATTATAGTCTATAGTCTGGATTATAGTCTAGTATATAGTCTGGAATAAAGTCTAGTCTATAGCCTAGTCTATAGTCTAGTCTATAGCCTAGTATAGTCTAGTCTATAGCCTAGTATAGTCTAGTCTATAGCCTAGTATAGTCTAGTTTATAGCCTAGTATAGTCTAGTCTATAGCCTAGTTTATAGCCTAGTCTATAGTCTACTCTATAGTCTAGTCTATGGTCTAGTCTATAGCCTAGTCTATAGTCTAGTCTATAGCCTAGTATAGTCTAGTCTATAGCCTAGTATAGTCTAGTCTATAGCCTAGTATAGTCTAGTTTATAGCCTAGTATAGTCTAGTCTATAGCCTAGTTTATAGCCTAGTCTATAGTCTACTCTATAGTCTAGTCTATGGTCTAGTCTATAGTCTAGTCTATAGTGTAGTCTATAGTCTAGACTATAGTCTAGTCTATAGTCTAGTCTATAGTCTAGTCTATAGAGATTTATATTGAAATTTTAGAAATTTATTAAAAATTCAGATATACATATCAAATTATAGTCTATAGTCTGGATTTATAGTCTAGTATATAGTCTGGACTAAAGTCTAGTCTATAGCTTAGTCTATAGTCTAGTCTATAGTCTAGTCTATAGTCTAGTCTATAGCCTAGTATAGTCTAGTCTATAGCCTAGTATAGTCTAGTCTATAGCCTAGTTTATAGCCTAGTCTATAGTCTACTCTATAGTCTAGTCTATGGTCTAATCTAGTCTATAGCCTAGTTTATAGCCTAGTCTATAGTCTACTCTATAGTCTAGTCTATGGTCTAGTCTATAGTCTAGTCTATAGTCTAGTCTATAGTCTAGTCTATAGTATAGTCTATAGTCTACTCTATAGTTTAGTCTATGGTCTAGTCTATAGTTTAGTCTATAGTCTAGTCTATAGTCTAGTCTGTAGGCTAGTCTATAGTCTAGTCTATAGTCTAGTCTATAGTCTAGACTATAGTCTAGTCTATAGTCTAGTCTATAGTCTAGTCAAAAGTCCAGTATATAGTCTAGTCTATTGTCTGGAAGTTTGTATTCGAGAGTCTAGACTGTAGTCTAGTTTATAGTGTGATCTATAGTATTGACTATATTCTAGTCTATAGTTAATCTAGTCTTTTAGTCTAGTCTATAATCTGGACTATAGTCTAGGCTATAGTCTGGTATATAATCTTCACTATAGTCTAGTCTTAATTTTTAATAGAAAGTCAGTTTTTTTAATGAAATTATTAAGCAAAAATTTGATGGAAATTGGAGAATAATTAACAATACTATTAATAAATAGAAGAAGATTTTAGATTAAAAAAATATGCAAAAATTTATAGAAAAAAATAATTTCGCTCAAACTAAATTGTTTAAAACTTCCCTAATCTTAAGCACTCCCTCTTAACAAATACCCTTGATTAAGTTTTTTTTAAGTTAAAATAAATTCAGGAAATTTATAATATATTTTATTTGCACCCACGTTTATAGTTGTGATTTATACAAAATATTTTGTTTAAAGTTAAAATTCGTTAGACTGCTTTAAGTTAAAATTGTACTATTATACATTTATTTCTTATTATTATTATTTTTTTGTAGTTCCTTTTTATTATTTTATAGGCCACATACGAATACAAGACTTTTCTATTTTTATATACAATTAAAATAAGTTCAAATTTCATTAACATACAGAGTGTTATAAAAAAAGGGAAGAGAAAAAGTAATTTATTATAAAACTATAATAAGAAGTTATCTAAATTTATTTTTGAGCTTAAAAAGTTTTTGTTAAGCTTTTTTTTTAACACTGTATACTAATGTATACAGTAGCCAGCCTCATTATTACAATTTTCTTTTTCACCAAATAATTAAACGTACAATTTATAAATAAAGCATAAATTTATAATTTAATCTGATATGTGTATTACACACAAACTTTGTTCAACAACTTGCAAACACAAATTAAGTAAAATAAAAAAACCTATTAAACCAAAAAAGTCTTCCTTAACTAAATTAAACACAAATATTAAAAAAAAATAATTGTAAAAAATGTTTAAATAACAAATATCTCTTTTTCTCTTAACTCTAAAATCTAAAAAAGGAAATTGAAAAGAAATCGAAAAATATGTGAAATCAAAATACTTATTGTCCATTATTGTTAATATTTAAGTAATAAAAATTACTATTTTGCTACATTATTATTAAAACAAAAACAATTGTTTTTATAATTAATTTATTTATTCATTCATTCAAATGTTTGTTTTTTTTTTCTATATAAAAATAAACAAATTCTTTTAACACACAAATAATATTATAGAAATAAAGTGAATGCATACTTTAGTATAACTAAGATGAAATTATTCAAAAATATTCTTGTGAATTGTTGTTGTTTCAGTTAGCAACTAATTTTTAAAGCAAACAAATAATAAAAAAAAATTGAGTTTAGAAAAAATATATAGTTTTTTTAATAATAATAAAGCATAGAATTTGATAAAGTAGTTAAAAATACTAAAAAATTACAATGTGAGTTGTTTTAATTTATGAGGTCTTTACCGATGTGGGTACCTTGGGTAAGCCAAATTCATCAGTTTCAATGGAATTCTGTAAAAGATAATAGAGTTTGTTTAAAACAGAATTTTTTAAGATTGTTCAACAATACGAAACTAATTTCAAAATACAAAACAAATTCTATGAAATCAGCTTACCTTATTGCCGGGTATAAAACTATCAGCACCAGGTTCCTTATCTGGAGCCGAAGGTGCCTTAACAACATCATCCAAATAACTAGCATCATCATCTAAAGCGATTTCATCGCCCAAGGCATCTAATTCTGCTTCTAGTTCATCATCATCAACCTCAGGCATACCATAAGTGCGACCCAAAGCCTCTTGAACTTCATCGGCCTGTTCCAGCATATCGGCCATGTCATCTTGTATGTCCTAAAATTAAAACATGTTAAAACTATAAACATATTTACTACATAACAGATTTCCTCCCCTCCTTACCTCAATGTGATCAATATTGATTTTCTTAAATTCTTTTTGCATTTGTTTAACGCCATCTTTCATGGCCGCCACTGTGGCCTGAGTATCCTTCAAGGATTGAGCTGCATAATTGGCTTGTTCCATATTAAACGATTGATTGCGCAAAGCATCGGCTTGCTGCTCATAACTAAGGGGTACAACATATAAATTCTTTATCTATTATAGTTTTAATTTCATAAACTTACGCTTTCTTTTGTTTCAACACTCTCATGGCCTTTTGTTTAACCGAATTCTTTGCCGGACCTTCACGCATTTTCGACATTTGCTCCCGATATTTACGCAGTTCATTTTCCAATTTTGTTATTTTCTCCTCTATATTGCTAGCCCGTTCATCCACCTTTTATGCAGAAGATGATTACATTATAAACAGTTTCTGAGAAGTTTTTATTTTCAATAAAAAATTTTACTTACTCCTTTGATGCAATCGTTTAGATTGGGCGCTGGTTCCTTAGGTTTTCCTTTGCCAAATAAGCGATTCATATTGTGGTCTTATAGAATTTATTGGGTTTTAAAAGAAAAGGTTTATTTAACTTGCTAAATTCGAGTTTTTAGATGATAAATTAAGAATTTTAGTCGATTCTTATTGAATGATGACTAATTTTATGTATTTGTTTTGACACAAACAAAGAAACAATATGGCAACTCTTTTAAACAGCTGTTTAGGAAAACAATGTTTACAAAATCTATAAATTTATAATTAAATCACCTAAATTACTAAGGTATTTTATTTGTATAAAAAGAAATGACTATATTAGGAAAATCTCTCGAATTTTGAAAAAAATTGTACCTTTTAATACTATGATTTGTGATATATGTTATTTAGCCAATAATTTTTAGTTTTGGAATTATAGACCTCTTAAGTTTTATATGTATATATATATTCAATATATTGTTATTTGTCCAAGAAAGTTTTAGTTTTGGAGTTCTAGACCTTTTAAGTTTTATATATATGTACATTCAATATCTTTTCAACTATATATAAGATGGCCCCATTTATTAACCCATTGAGTTTTTAAATAACCCCCGGCATTACCCCAATGAGCCACAACTCGAACATGTGTTATACATATTTTATTCTGATTTTTAACAAATTTAAAATGTTGTCTTTTCAGTGCAACACGGTTTTTGATATTTTACACTTGTAAATTATATTTCTGAAAAAGGCGTCTATTTAAAATGAGATCTATACATAATTTCTACTTGAAAATAAAAATTACTAAAACACCCATTTTTTTTAATTCATATTTTAAATTAAAAAAAACTTATGCCGATTAGAGTGGTAAAGTAACTCCTATATTCTGTAAAGATTTTTTAATAAGTTTTCTATAATTATAGACATTTTATTTTTTGTTGCACAGAAAATGTAACAGAAATCTATTAAAAAATTCAAAATCTATTTGTAAACATTAAATTTTTGTTCGTTTACCAACACTTTTCTTGAAAATAAACAAAAAATAAAACTAACTGGCATCTCTGGCTCTCAGCTGATATAAGCAAGTAATTCTCTTTTATTTGACATTTACTAACGAAATGTCAACGTGAGCGTATGTCTGAAAAGAAAAATAAAATTGTATTTGCGGTGTGAATAAAAAAGAAAAGAAATTATAATTAAATAAATTAATTAGTATAATTGAAACACAAAACAAAGAAATTTTGTATATATGTACATACATATCCTTAATTTTAACAAATTTTAAAAATAAAAGTGAAAAAAAGAAGAAAAGTTATAAATAACAAATAGAATAGAAAAATATTTAAAAATAGCAGAAAACTTTGGTAAAATGTGTGAAAATAAAGAAAACAAAACGTAAACAATTTTTTATGTGAAATTAAATTAATTTAAATTATTAAAAAATAAAATTATTGCCTAATAACTTATAGAGCAAATTTTGTTAAATATAAAAAAATTGCTAGTATATGCTAGCTAGACCTGCGCCCTTTAAATATTGGGGGACAACCTTTGACGTATTTTTCACCCACTTGTTATAGATTTAATAAAGAACACAAAAACAGACAAAGCAGCTAAATAACCATAAACCCGCATAATGACGTAGTTTTTGCCTAAATAATATAAAATTAAAAATTCCACAAAAATACCAACATTTTAGTAATATAACAACAATACAACACAACACACCTGGCTTAGGAAGGAGACTTCCTTTAGAAAACCACCCTTTATTTTTGGTACAACAAACACGTTTAACGTGTAGTACTCGCTTTATTTCAACAATATGGATAGTTCTATGATGTTGGCAGCTTTACACGGTGATTCAGCCGTATATGCTCATGTAGCTAATGCAGAAATTTGGATGATTATGATGCTACCACCATAACTACCTTAACAGATGGCTTAGTGAAGGCTATTACCTCAACTACAATGGCTGCTGCCAGCACAGTCAGCGCTAGTACAACAGCAGCTCCTGATCATGATTCTAATATTTCAATGAATAATTTTTATCCAGCCTTGGTACAGTGCTTTGGCATTATAATTTGTGGGTAAGTTGCAAGCATTTTTTAACACATACAAGTATGAAATTAAAAATGTGCAAAGTCGACCATATGTTAACCCTACATCAACTATGAATAATAAAATAATTATGGGAAAAATATAATTTATAAGCTTTTGCATAGAATAGGGATTGATGTTGAGAGATTTTTGGGTATTAAAGTGAATTCCTAAATAAGGTTGCAGTTAAATGTGGTCATCCTCACAAATAAACGAATTTCTCCTTAATCGTTAATTCGTTCTGTATCGATGATTATTTGTTAAGTTGGATGTTAAAAACTTCAACACATATAAATAAAAATCTCTCAACTGTAGATCTTTAATATATAATAACCCAGATAGCAGCTCAATATTGTTTAAGTTAAGTTTGTCTATACAAATGTTATCGTTCACTGATATCTTTACCTTATATGAAAATTAAAACACAAAGAAGTTTAGAACAGCTGTTAAACAAAAAAGTACAAAAAGTGTATATTATGAACAAGTGTATATTAAACAATACATATTTATATTGTATATTTCCATATTTTTTGCACTTCTTTAAATAACAATTGTTTAATAATGTTAAAAACACATACGGAAAGCAACATATAATATTTGCAGACAATCAAATTATTCACTCGTGAGAACAACAATTATAATGTTTATTTTTTACCCCAAAATTTAAGTTAGGCAGACACTATCATTTATGGTTCATTGATTTGTTTGTTGTGTTTTTTTTGTTTTAATTTGCTACATTTTAGCGTGTTTGGTTTTTTTTTGCGAATTATTCAGCCATCCTATAATTTAACAATATAATAAATGTGTGATTTTGACCTTGAAAACTACACTATACCAAAAACCTACTTTCAAAATTTGAAAAGATTTATTTTGTGTTTGATTGAACTGCTATGACTCCTTAAAACAGCTACATACAACTTTAAAAATTGTTTTAAAATATTTACAAAGAAAAAAATACCGGTATCTAGACTTTTTCAAGTAATTCCCCTTTTTTAACGTTACACTGCAGACAAACAATTTCAAACCAAAAAAAGTAATTTATCTTTACTTGTTTAAAATAAAGCTTAAACCAATTTAATACTCATAAAATAATTTGTTTGATATTTTCCTTAATTAAAATTTGATGGCCTAGTTTGAAAAAGTTTTCGGGTAATTTCCCTTTACTCTAACGTAACTCCACATTTTAATTTTTTGCAACTCTTTATTACTATAATAGCAACTAGGCTTTAATCACGTGTAAATCTATTTAAATGAGCTCATGTTAGGTAATTCCCAATTTTTAGTAACGGAATTATAGTTAGTTTTTTATGTTAGACGTAAAATTTAGATTCAATACAATTGCCTTTAATTATAGATTAATTATTTAACAATAACAGGAGTTTAAAATCAGATGAATCACAATTTCATAAGACGAAATAACTTCTTAACCGTCAAGAAAAGTTTATAAAAACTGTCTAAACAAGACACTTTTCTATATGAAATCTGTCTTAAGAAGACAGTTTTCTATATAAAAACTGTCTTAACAAGATACTTTTTTATATGAAAACTGCCTTAACAAGATACTATTCTATACGAAAACTGTATTGACAAGACACTTTTTCTATATGAAAACTGTCTTAACAAGACATTTTCTATATGAAATCTGACTTTACGAGACACTTTTCTACATGAATCTTTCTTAACAAGACAATTTTGTTAGTATATGAAAACTGTCTTAACAATACACTTTTATATATGAAAACTGTCCTGACAAGACACTTTTCTATAAGAAAACTGTCTTAACAAGACACTTTTCTATAAGAAAACTGTCTTAACAAGACACTTTTCTATAAGAAAACTGTCTTAACAAGACACTTTCTATAAGAAAACTGTCTTAACAAGACACTTTTCTATAAGAAAACTGTCTTAACAAGACACATTTCTATAAGAAAACTTTCTTAACAAGACACTTTTCTATAAAAAAAACTGTCTTAACAAGACACTTTTCTATAAGAAAACTGTCTTAACAAGACACTTTTCTATAAGAAAACTGTCTTAACAAGACAACTTTTCTATAAGAAAACTGTCTTGATAAGACACTTTTCTATATGAAAACAGTCTTAACAAGACTCTTTTCTATATGAAAACTGTCTTAACAAGACACTTTTCTATAAGAAAACTGTCTTAACAAGACACTTTTCTATAAGAAAACTGTCTTAACAAGACACTTTGTATAAGAAAACTGTCTTAACAAGACATCTTTTCTATAAGAAAACTGTCTTGACAAGACACTTTTCTATAGGAAAACCGTCTTAACAAGGCACTTTTCTATATAAAAAGACACTTTTGAATATGAAAACTGTCTTGACAAGACACTGTTCTATATGAAAACTTTCTTGATAAGACACTTTTCTATATAAAAACGGTCTTGACAAGACACTTTTCTATATGAAAACGGTCTTGACAAGACACTTTTCTATATATGAAAGCTGTCTTGACAAGACTTTTCTATAAGAAAGCTGTCATGGCTAGAGACTTTTAAAGAAGATAACTGTCTAGACAATACTGCCTTGACATTCTTGAAGTTTATCTTCCCAAGAATCTTTTGTATAAGAAAACTGTCTCGACAAGACATTTTTCAATAATAAAACTGACAAGACTGTTTTGTACAAGAAATATTACTATTTCTTCTTCTAATAAGAAAAATTTACCATCACTTTTATTTGAAACTAAAATATAACAAAGTTCTACAAATTTATAGAAGTTTAGTTGAATTCTTTATAAAATAACAGTTAATTATGTACTTAATTATGGAAAAAATTCCAAGTAAATAATTGCAATTAAATTCTATAGAAATATCTTGTTAATCAAACTTGTGACCACTGAATAAAACAAAAACATAAGAACAATGCAACAATTTATTTAAATGCATGATTTTTTAAATTAGTTTTTTTTTGCTCCATAACTCCCTGTTAGCAATACAATTTGTTTTTCATCACTCTCTAACTGCTATGTTTAAATATGACGTTTATTTAAACATACAAAGTAAAGTTTAAAAATTAAAGTTATTTGAAAAATTCCCCCCGTTATTAGTCATTAAAAAAAATGATCAAAGTAACATTAACTATATATGGATGTAGTTAGTGTTTAACTTTAACTTGAATATGAATAC